ACTCTGCAGATGGAGTGCGACCTGGCAGGGCTCATGATCTGTCCTCTGCCTTCTTCCGCCAAGGATGTCTGATAGGAAAGCTCTCTACAAAGACAGCAGTTTCTGTAAGCAAGGTCCTCGGATATGTAAAAGTCAATGTATGAGGCCCTGGATTTAATCCTTGGCACCATACACACTCACAAGCACCTGTAGGATTAGCTAACACCATGAAACTGGTCTTAAAACTCAAAATTTAAAAAAAAATACGCATTTTATCAAAGAATGTTGTTCTTTTCCTTTTTTGTGATAACTGGTTCTAAGCAATAAATACTGTCCATGAAGGACAGTGCCTGGACTTTCAGTTCAGGGGACAGTACATACAGTCCTCAGTTCAGGAGGGTGTTTGCCCCCGAACCTCATGCTGTTTTCTCTCTTATTATGTCTTTTTAAAAATCCTTGTGGGTTGTTCCCAGCTTCAGGATACTTTACTTAGAACTGGTCCCTGGCAAGGTCTTTACTTCCTTCATTTACTATTTATTTATTCATTCATTCATTTATTTATATCATATCATAGGTTAAACCCATATATATATATATATTCAATTGCTAAATCAAAATTCTGAGAATCATCCCTAATGCACCCTATTCTCTGTTTCCATTCTTGCGCCTTTAATGAATTTTCATGGGGACTACATAGTCAAAAAATGACATGTTGAATCACGTGAGCCCATGCTAATGCTAAAGGTTTTGTAATAACATTCATGTGTCTGAAATGTAAAACATAGATATTTTAATATGGGCAACTAAGTCACACATGACCTGGTCTCAGCTGACCTCTTTTATTCCTAACAGAGCTATTATCCAAACTGAGGGTCTTCCCACTCACAAGCATTTACTTCCATTAGAATGCACTCCTCTTCATCTGTAAAAAGTATCTGTTTATTTACATTTCAAGATTTAAAGTAGCACTTTTTAAGAGAAGTCTCCATTGATACGTTATTATTATTATTATTATTATTATTATTATTATTAGTGGTGGTTTTGGGCCACTCAGTGATTCTCAGATATTACTCATGGCTTTGTGCTCAGGGATAACTTCTGGTGAGACTTGGATGACCATATGTGATGCCAGATTTTGAACTGGGGTTGACCATGTCCCAGGAAACTCCAGTCCCTTACAACATTTTTCATTTATTAATAGCAATTTTCTGGTGTTTGATCCATCAGATTATGATCTGATTTAATTATCTCCATATTCTTCATGTAGCCTCACTGCTTGGCTCTGTGCAAAGTAAATTTTTTTTTTAAAATGCTGTTTAATGAATTATTGAAGAGTCAAATAAATGAACACATCTCAGATAGGTCTTTACTATAACTCAGACTAGTAACTTGGTTTACTAGAATACTGATGTTATAAAGAGTGCCTATGTATCTAATAAAAGCTAGATAATCATAGCGCAAAATTTCACAGAGTCAATTTAATTGTGACCTGTACTGAAGTACATTGACTTTCTCTTTCTCATTAGAAATTTTGGATTCTTCCATCATAATAACTTTCTCAGTAGATTTCATTTCACCTCTTAGGGTGCATTCACACTTCCATGGGATGAGCTATACATTAGTAGAAATTTCTTAGAAAATGGTAACCATTAAAAAACAAATAATTTTATCGTGTATTATTTAATAATAATATATTATATACTAATAATAAATAATAAAATATAACATACACAATACTATTTTTATTATTTATTATATATACAAAGATGACAAGCAAAGATAAGACTACAAAGCATCAATAGAATTAGCATAGAATCCACTTCAATTTTCAACTTACTAGAATTCAGCATTCAAGGTTCAGGGCAAGAATTTAGGAGCCTACTGATCTTTTATTTCTTATTATTGGACCACAGCTGATAGTGTCGGAGATTATACTTGGTTCTGTGGTCTGCAGTCCTATCCAGAGCTGCTTGGGGGATCAAGAACTATGAAGATCAAATCGGGACCTCTTTTGTGCAAAACTTGTTCTTAACCTCGTTAGCTTTCTTGCTTGCTTCAAGATTTGGAATTTAAATGATGACTACAATAGATTCTTTTCCTGTATCCACAGGCTTCATATTTTATAGAGAGAATCAAATACTAATCAGTGAGCTTGACACGGTATAGGAGAAAATATACAAGAGTATAATCCCAAGAGGGCTACTTTATCCACGGCCTTGTACAGAGGTTTGGGATATTCAGGGCTATTATTCAGGGCTATTAAATCAATTCTAACAGTTTCCTAGTTCTCCTTATTGTAGTCAATCAAACCCAAATATCACGCCATAGCCCAAACGTTGTATATTCTACATTCATCAGGATATCCCCTGAGTGTTCCTAGCCAATTAACACCTTCTTCCTTCACAAGGCCCTCCCCATATCCCAGGCTGGTGTTGCCCCACTCTAAGCTCAAAGGAGAACATAGTTCAGAATGAATTAAACCAACCAGAGCAGGGATAGTACCGGTGACAAAGACGCTTAAAAATGTGTTTCTGTTCAAAAGGAGGAATTTTGGCTACCTGCAGTCCTTAGTTTCTTTGCAGACTAGCATTTTGGTGACTCAGCTATCGGAGAAATATGAACAAACGGCAATGTAATGTTGTGTGCTTGAAATAAAGATTTGTCTTACGATTATAATGAATGATTGTTGCTTACTGAATTATGAAAATAGCTATTATATATACCTACATCACTGTCACTGTCCTCCCATTGTTCATCAATTTGTTCAAGCAGGCCCAGTAACACTTGTTACTGTGCTTGGCATATCCAATACATCACGGGTAGCTTGCCAGGCTCTGCCGTGCGGGCGAGATACTCTCGGTAGCTTGCCGGACTCTCCGAGAGGGGCGGAGGAATTGAACTCGGGTTGGCCACGTTGGCTGCGTGCAAGGCAAACGCCCTACCCGCTGTGCTATCACTCCAGCCCATATACCTACATAATAGAAGTAATGTTATTTAACTTTAAAGCACCTTCAGAATACGATTTTAGGATCTGATAAAATGGTAAGACTCTTGCTCTATATGCAGCTAACCCTGATTTAATCCCCAGCACTGCACAGGGTCCCCCAAACATCACCAGAAGTTATCACTGAGCACAGAGTCAGGAGTAATACCTGAGCACTGCTGGGTATAGCCAATCTCCCAAATTTTAAAAAAATATAAAAAGAAAATAAGATTTAAATAAATGCACAGAAAGTATTTTCCTCATTATCACTAGGTAATGTGGTAAAGGAATGGTTTATTTTTCTTCTATATTTAAATCTACAATTTTTATATTTTTGAGTTTAGCCCAAGAGGGGTCTCTGAGTATTTTCATTATATTTCCAAACTATTGCAATGAAGGTTGAAACTCTATGTACCAGAAATACTACAAATAATGTGTATATAGTTAATATTGTCTGGCAATCAATTTGTGCCCACCACTATTTCAAATTCCTATAAATGAACTCACTAATTCTCACATTTCTAAATGTAGGTATTATTATTATCTGTATTATGTAGGTGGGAAAATTAATGTTCAGGGAGGTTAAGCAAGTTACCTAATTTTAGCTCCTGAGTCCAGAACAAGGATACCAGCATAAGCACTTTGTTTTTGGAGTTTGCATTCTTAATCAGCAAACTGTTCTGCTCATTATGTACCAGGTATTAGATATATGTTTAATTCTAACAAATCCCAAGTAACTGATGCTATCAGTATGATTGCCATTGAATCATGAGGAATTGGCTCAACAAAAGTCATTCTGATAATAAGTGGCTGAAGTAGACTTTCAAATTCAGTCTGACTCAAGTCTGAGATCTTAAACACTACCCACTGTCTTCCAGAGAAAGGGAAATGCTTATTTTATTTCCATTGCATTTGCTAATAGATCAAATAGGTTTTCATGGAAGGAGAAATTATTAACTAAACCTATAGTAGCATCACATTATAATCTTCTACAATAGTTAAATCACTGTTAAACTAATTATTAGATTGTTCTAGAATATCTCAAATTCCATCAAGCTAATATCAAATGCCAATATTTTGAAGAACAATGCTGAAAAGATTATTTTTAAAATGAATATGATGATCCCTCCCACTAAAATTTACATGTTTTCTCCAATGTTACTGCAATTACCTTGAGATGTGAGAGCATTTTTAAAATCATTTTATTTTGACTCCTGCAAGTATTAAATACTATTTGATATAGTTGGGTAGAACACATGACCATAGCAAAATCAAAACATATTATATAAAACTATAATAAACTATTTTAATTATTATTGTTCACATTTCTATTGATTATTTTATTTTTATTTTATATTATTTTTCTTTTTATATTATTTTTATTTTATTTTATATTATTTGATTTCTTTATTTGGGCTGAAGCAATAGCACAGCTGGTAAGGTGTTTGCCTTACATGAGACTGACTTGGGTTCGATTCCTCGGCCCCTCTTGGAAAGCCCAGCAAGCTACTGAGAGTACCCTCATGGCAAAGCCTGGCAAGCTCTTTGTGAGGTATTCCATAAGCTAAAAACAGTAACAAGCCTCACAATGCAGATGTTACTGGTGCCCACTTGAGCAAACTGGTGAACAACGGGAGGATGTTCTACAATGCTACCATTTGTATCTGCAAACATAAAAAACTTCATATTATTATGCCAACCATGTCATTATAACCCAGTGAAATTAAAACTTTAGGGAAAAATATGTGTTACTCTTGTTTATAAGAACATTCTTGCATAACTCTATCTTTTCTATATTGAGTCAGTATTTAAAGCATTGGTTTTGTAGAAACCGTCTCAAAATCTCTTGGTTAATATTATAGTTGGAATTACATATTGGGTGGCAGTTTGAAAAAAGCATGAATTTAGCCAAATGCCTAGTGACTGGCATTCTTGTTAATATTAATTCTATTACTATTACCTTTAGGCCCTTTGAACAGAATTTAGGCAAATGCCTAGTGACTGGCATTCTTGTTAATATCATTTCTATTACTATTACCTTTAGGTCCTTTGAACAGTTTGATTTCCACTACTGTCTCCAAAATGGGTCTCCGTCTGCGCACGTACAGTCGAACGATAGAGCCCGCCTCCTTGAGGGCTTCCACAGCTTTACTGTGGGAAACCTCCGACACGTCCACTTCATTCACCCGTAGGATACAGTCATTGACCCTGAAAGAAGGAAAGAAAGCTGGAGGTAGGTCATGGCCAGGGCTATTGCGCAAGTTAACACGGTGAGGAATATGACCTGTATTTAAGATGTGGAGAATAAGCAATTAGCAACAAAACAAATTACATTTTGAGATATATTAATTTACCTGAGGGGAGGGGGCTGCAATAAACAGAATGGAGCCTGGGGAAAAAAACACTTTAGGTTCATGTTCTGGCCCAGTTAGCCCACTCATAAACACGACCAGAGTCCAACTCAGGGAAGGATTGGAACTCAACCAATGGCCACCTTCAAACTCACTCAGTTTGCATATTATTACGCTACTGAAAATTTGACTGACTTCTAGAGTAATTTGTGTAGGGAATCTAAACTAACTAAAAAAAGTTGACCACCTAGCTTTGCCTTTTCTTACTTTCTCATTCTTTCTCTCCTCTCTTTCCTCTTCTTTCTCACTTTCCCTCCCTTCCTTCCTTCCTTCCTCTTCCTTCCTTCTTCCTTCCTTCCTTCCTTCCTTCCTTCCTTCCTTCCTTCCTTCCTTCCTTCCTTCCTTCCTTCCTTCCCTCCTTCCTTCTTCCCTTTCTTTTATTTTTCTTTCTTCCTCTTTTTTGAAATATATTTTTTAAATGTATCCACCTTCTCTCGTAAATTCAAATGTGATTCCAGCTCTTTATGGATCAGTGTTTTGAGACTACAGTGCCAAATGCTCCATCTTCACCAGATTTCTGTTCCTTTTTTAACACTACAACTTTGGTTATGTCCCATTCTGAACTCCTGTTCACTCTGAGTGTATCTGCAATCACATATGCATAATAACAAGGATATATATGCTAAGGTTTTTGTCATTTGCATCATTATTTTTCATTTTGGGGGGGAGGTGAAGTGGAGTTTGCTAAGTTCCAAGTGTTAAGAGGATATTCCTGGCTTTGAGGTCAGAAGTGACCCCTGGCAGTGCTCAGGGGATGATGAAGGTGCCATCTGAGGCCTTCTACATGAATCCACTATACTATATATTTGGATGGTTCATTGGAATTGTTTGAAGAAAGAATGCATTTGAATGCTTCTCCTTTGTAATTTTTCTTGAATTATTATAATACTGCTTATTAAGTACAATAAAATCATTTTAGAAACACAGAAATATAAAAATGTTGAAAGATAAAGAATCTGAGGCTTAGTTATCTAAAATAAGCTTGCTAGTTTTCTAGAAATTTAGCTTTCTGGTTTTATTTTTTCATAAGAGAAAATCTTAGACAATTTTGCTCTAGTTCCCTTGAACACTAAGAATTATGATACATTTTATATTAAACTAATTTTTGTCATGGGAAGAAATAATTTGAATTTTTCGGTTACTTTACATATTATGTGGTCATGAATAGCAAATAATTTGCATTTAGTTAGAGCTTGATTATAGTCCCTAAAAGGACCCAGTCATCCCTCTCTTGCTCCGTCACTGATCTCTCTTTTTTCCTAAAACACAAAATTTCCTATTAATATAACGATGGCTTTTCTTTTTTTTCCTGCCTAATTAGCATATGGAGCAATATGGGGCTGGAGCGATGGCACAGTGGGCAGGGCATTTGCTTTGCACTGGGCCTACCCCGGTTTGATTCCTCCGCCCCTCTTGGAGAACCCGGCAAGCTACCGAGAGTATCCTGCCCGCATGGCAGAGCCTGGCAAGCTCCCCGTGACGTATTCGATATGCCAGACACAGTAACAACAAGTCTCACGATGGAGACGTTACTGGGCCCGCTTGAGCAAATCGACGAACAACGGGAGGACAGTGCTACGGTGCAGTACAGTGCTACTAATGTCAATACTGAGTCAACAAAGATTTGTTTTTCTCACTCTGCACATCTATTTTAGTGTTCCCCATGTCAGCTTATATGTGGCTCAGAGAAAAAGAAATTCAGAGGCCATTCTTTTTCTTTCTATTTTTTTTCTTTTGGGATCACACCCAGCGATGCTCAGGGGTTACTCCTGGCTCTGCACTCAGGAATTACTCTTGGGAGTGCTTAGGGGACCATATGGGATTCCGGGGATTGAACCTGGTCGGCTGTGGGGCAAGTCAAACACCCTACCGCTTGACTATGGCTCCAGGCCCAGAGGTCATTCTTACATTGCTTCTCTCCCTTAGTACTGTTGCATATTCAGCTCAATTGGAAATGCATATCTTCAGCTTAGCCAGATTTCTTCCTGTCCGTTACTGTCACAATGGTTGACATCAACATCATGTCTCACACAGGTTCTTTTCATATCCTAGTCTCCCTGGATTTTAAATTCGCTCATTAACTTTCAGTTTGTTCTCCGTTCTGTGGATATAGAGCTCCACAAAGGACAAGTTTGGTTGAGGATCCACATTCCATTCCCGTTCCCCAGATCCATTCTACAAACAGTGACTGATTTTGGAACAAATTTGTATGACCCAGAGTCTTCCCATTTCAATATTGAGCTTCTACTTGGGATCACATACATCCAGTGTGACAAAACTTTGAGGTAAGTTGAACACAGCAATTTAAAAGTATGACATGGTACTGCAAATGAAGAATCTTCTATTATTTTTGATAACAAAATCTTCACAATTGCTTAAAAAGCTAAGTTGCAGAAGTTCTTACCTTGATGAAAACTTGACTTAGTCTCAAATCCCTGAACTTAGTAAGCAAAATCCCTTTTGCTCACTAAGTTTCAGTACTATAGTTCATCCTGATAGATTCTATGACTTTATTTTTACGTTTTTGTTTAAAAAGTTTCTTTTTTTGTCTTGAGGCCATGTTTTTTAGTACACAGGGGGTACAGCCAGCTGTCCAGCTCAGGGGACTATGAGGTGCAGATATTATTAATGCACATTAATACGTTTAAGCATACATTTCATCTCTGATTGACAAAAAAAATTATGGACAGCTACTAATTAAAATAGCTTTTAAAATGTAAGCATCACAGGGCCAGCTCCCCTGCAGCAGCTGGTCCTTTGAGAGTAGGTCATTGTGTCATCTCATAAAAATGCAAAAACATAATGTTTACCACAATGCTATGCTTGGAATACTAATCATGTCTTAAAACAGTGATTTCATATAGTGATGTAGCTGTCACTAAAAAAATTTTCTGGATGACACATCTATTCAAACTCTATTCACTGTCCCCTTCTTTTGCCTATGTTGAATCCTTGTCAATGCTTAGGTTGAGAAAATCATAGCCTTAATTGGATGGTTTTTCCCGAAGATGTGGGTAGAATACAGTTTTAATGCAGGAAAAGGAACATTGTGTTCCTGCTCAAGAGGATTGGATTGAGTTGAGGCAGTGGATGAGGTAGGTGACCATGGTCAGCCACTTCACTTGTTAGAACTTTTGTACTAAAGTTTCTCATACAAAAGACTCTGAGCAGGTCCAGTTTTAGAAGAGACATAATGAAATAGATAATATGTTGAGCTACGTGTGTGGAGCGATAGCACAGCGGTAGGGCATTCGCCTTACACGCGGCCAACATGGCCGACCCGAGTTCGATTCCTCCGCCCCTCTCGGAGAGCCCGGCAAGCTACCGAGAGTATTCGATATGCCAGACACAGTAACAACAAAGTCTCCAATGGAGACGTTACTGGGCCCGCTCGAGCAAATCGACGATCAACGGGAGGGCCTTTACCTTTTACCTTTACGTGTGTAAATTATAATATACTGAGGCTAAACAACTCAGAGGTAAGTGAAAAATTCTGTGCTAAGGAATTTTCAGAAAACACACAATGATCAAACACCCATCCCTCCCTCCACCAGTGCACATTCCCTACCACTAATATCTCCAGTATACCCCTCTTTCCCACCCTCCCACTTCCTCCATGACAGACAATATTTCCCATACTCTTCTCTCTACTTAAATCAAACTGTCTGAAAATATTGATTCTTAATTATAGACAGATGATATCATTGAGCTCAAGAAGTCTGAGTGTTGTTACAGGTAGGAATAGGATTCCAACTAGGTTTTTACTGGAATCTTCTCCTTTCTTCTCCTCCCTCCCTCCCTCTCCCATCCCCTCCCTCACTCTGCCTCTCTTCTTTTTTCCATTTTCTTGTTTTAAAATTATTTTATTTTATATTTTTTATTTTTGGGTCACACCCTGCATTGCACAGGGGTCACTCCTGGCTCGTGCACTCAGGAATTACTCCTGGTGGTGCTCTGGGGTCCATATGAAATGCTGGGAATCAAACCCGGGTCAGCCGTGTGCAAGGCAAAAACACCATACCCGCAGTCCTATTGCTCCAGCCTCAATTATTTTAAATTTCACCATCCAGAGTTTACTGTTTAAAACACTTTTAAAAAGGAATGAGAATTGTGGGATGGAGTTTATACTCAAATTCTCAAAATAAATGGGAACAACAATCAAGCCAAACTAGAACACTTAACTTCCCTTCCTCCCAATCACTTAAAACGGAATTTGGCTGCGGGGCTGGAGAGAGTCCTGGAGGTAAGGCATATTGTCTTGCTTGCTGCTGAATCCAGTTAGTTTCTCATCATCACATACGGTCCCCCAGCATCTTCAAAGTTTCCTGAACTCAGAACCAAGAATATTCCCTGAGCTCACTGAGTGAGGCCTGAAGCTCTCTCACCTACCTCAAACAGTGGTGTGGCTAGAATGCCATCGCTATCTAGAGCGAATTTTCTTTCTCTATAAATAGATAAGCTTTGTGAGAAAATCTACTATTTTCATTCATCTAGAAACAACTAATGCTAGCTTCAGGCTCAAGTATTAATTTACCCCACCAGAAAGTGCAACCTTTATCTCATTTTATTGATTTAGAAAGCCACTTATGTACATATTTCCTAACTACTCTGCCCAGATAATTAAGTTGATGTTTTTCATCTTTTCAGAGTTAGGTGTTCCATCAATAAGCCTGCAATATTATTTTATCAACCAGAATTGTTCACAAGGTTAAAAGATTAATTATAATCTCCTGATTTCATTTCCTTTTTAACATTCTGGTATACTACCTTGTTAAAAAAAACTTTAAATATAAGAAA